AGTTACTTCCTGATCACAGTAATTGCAGTTCGGTTACCTCCTGATCACAGTAATAACACCACAGTTACCTCCTTATCACGGTAATTGCGGTGCGGTTACCTTCCTTATCACAATATTACAGTACAGTTTCCTCATGGTCACAGTAATTGCAGTGCGGTTACCTCCTGATCACAGTAATTGCAGTTCGGTTACCTCCTGATCACAGTAATAACACCACAGTTACCTCCTTATCACAATAATTGCGGTGCGGTTACCTTCCTTATCACAATATTACAGTACAGTTTCCTCATGGTCACAGTAATTGCAGTGCGGTTACCTCCTGATCACAGTAATTACAGTGCGGTTACCTCCTGATCACAGTAATGACAGTGCGGTTACCTCCTGGTCCCAGTAATCATAGTGCGGTTACCTCCTGGTCCCAGTAGTCACATCACGGTGGCCTCCTTATCACAGTAACTACGTCTTGGTTACCTCCGGATCACAGTAATTACAGTGCGGTTACCTCCTGATCACAGTAATTACAGTGCGGTTACCGCCTGGTCCTAGTAGCTACATCACGGTGACATCCTTATCACAGTAACTACGTCTTGGTTACCTCCTGATCACAGTAATCATAGTGCGGTTACCTCCTGATCACAGTAATTACAGTGCGGTTACCGCCTGGTCCTAGTAGCTACATCACGGTGGCCTCCTTATCACAGTAACTACGTCTTGGTTACCTCCTGATCACAGTAATTACAGTGCGGTTACCTCCTGATCACAGTAATTACAGTGCGGTTACCGTCTGGTCCTAGTAGCTACATCACGGTGGCCTCCTTATCACAGTAACTACGTCTTGGTTACCTCCTGATCACAGTAATTACAGTGCGGTTACCTCCTGATTACAATATTACAGTAAGGTTACCTCCTGGTCCTAGTAATTACGTCACGTTTACCTCCTGATCACAGTTTCGCTTATTTTTTTCTTGTTTCTAAACAGAACATTTTTCAGCTATACACATTTTCCACCATGTATTTCGTCTCTACTTTTTCTGCTAATTCAACTTTATTTAGTTTTCTCAAACCTTTGACTAACTGCGCTATGTCGCCATGCCTGTTGAAGTTGCGCCACTTTTCCAGGCAGGTGAGAGCTGTTTCCTCAGGTGTGCGGTCTCTTCGGGCCGAGATTTGGTCAATAACATACACGTCCTTCTGACGCTTATCCAAATCACGTGCTGGAGTGAACGGCAGTCGATCGTAAAGCTTCTTCCAGTCCTTGCCAATGAACTGGGCCACAAATCTGCAGGCGTCCTCCAACACAGCTGTCAAAGAGAAAATATAAGCATTATTACAGTCCGTAGATAGATACATTTTGTGAGAAATTGGTCCTACATCTGAAACGAGACCTCGAAATTGGGCGTGATCGCAAATTGATCCCACATCTGACATAAGACATTGAAATAGGGAATGATCGCTGCTTGATTCGACAAACAATTTTCGATACTAAATTCTGAATTTCGTATGTCAACATGCGCAATATTCAAAGTCAACATACGCTAAAACACAGCATTCGTTATACAGGCGTCATCAAACGTCACACGAACGCTTGTCATCGTCATCAATTCCACTAGTCATATAATACAGACATTATCTTTCTTGTATATCATCATAGGCAACAGTATTCACCAGACTGATATAAAATCTTACTTTGTAACAATCTTTATTTCGTCTTTGATGACGTTAGAATGCAAATCATACCATGACGTTATGACGTCACAATTGAAATGTAGCGATATTTCAATCCATCATAACACTCGTAGGCATGCTGTTATACGTGTAGTAAAATAAAAACAAGTTGTGATGTGTTAAATGGATCATAAGTAAACAAATAAAAAACAAATAGCTTCCGGCCCGATGTTTACATGTCGTCTGCCATCTTGGACAGATTTGTTGAATATACCGCTGAAGACATTGATGACATTCTCAAGAATAATTCGCTTCCTTAGATATAGACAGTGGAGGTATAACAAAGCATTTGTACACTAGAATTTCGGTCAACATGTGCTATGTTGAACCCTCCGACCAAACTGTTGCCTTCCTCCAGTTCAACATAACACACGTTGACCTCAGATCCAGTCAACAGTATAATATTATCTGATAAGAAACGCTAGTAAAACTATTATAGATACCAACTCAGCTCAAACATTCAACATACACCGAAACGCTTTGATGTAAATCCAACCTAATTCAACATTCACTTCATCTGCGCCCGAACAGGAAACTACAAAGTTATGTAATCACTAATAACGAGGGGGGATTTATTTCACTGACAAACGTTATAACTGACATTATCATATACGACCCTGTGTTTGATTCGTTAACACGTATAAGCATGTAGTGCCGAGATGAAAGTTAAAATAAGGAACAAAGAAAAGACTGTAAAGGGAATGTAAAGCAAATACAGATTTCATGCATTACACACGATATATAATATAACCAACACCTACTTTTATTTTTTATAATACAGGCCTCTTCAAAACCGTACCAGAGTCTACGTCATCATATGCTACCCGTTCCGATGATCAGGTACCGCCTTAAACTAAACAACTATCACAAAAATAGGACCTGTCAAACCCACTTCGTTTAAAACGATATTTTACATAATAAAATGCATCGACACTTTCTGGCAGTCATAAATCGACAATTTTTGGCAGTAAAACATTATTATCCTATATTGGTAAACATCTGTAGAGTACAAATAACTCACGACTATTATCTAATCTCGGACGAACGTACGGAATGATTTAAAGGTATTACAGGGTTTGTGTATCAGAAGTTCGAGTAAACATCTGTTGCCTCGTCAGCTTTTGAAATCGTTCTGAGGGACGACATTCGACAAGGGATGTGAGAGCCGTGTATATATAAATACAAAATAACAGGTTTATGAAGATGATTATAGCAAACGTTATTCCCCGGGATAATGTTGACTTATGTATAGGACCTTACACTGGTTTAACTCAAATATGTCCAAAAGAATCGCTCTTGGGTTACTGCAGAAATCTACTTGCACGAATGATCCTTCTGATGTCAGAAAACTGTTTCTGGTGTAAATTGTCCCCTATAGAGAACTCTTTCTGGTGTAAGTTGTCCCCGCCAGAGAACTGTTTCTGGTGTAAGATGTCCCCGCCAGAGAACTGTTTCTGATGTAAGATGTCCCCGCCAGAGAACTGTTTCTGGTGTAAGTTGTCCCCGCCAGCGAACTGTTTCTGGTGTAAGTTGAGAACTGTTTCTGATGTAGGTTGTCCTCGTTAGAGAACTATTTCTGATGTAGGTTGTCCTCGTTAGAGAACTGTTTCTGATAAAGGTTGTCCTCGTTAGAGAACTGTTTCTGATAAAGGTTGTCCTCGTTAGAGAACTGTTTCTGATAAAGGTTGTCCTCGTTAGAGAACTGTTTCTGATAAAGGTTGTCCTCGTTAGAGAACTGTTTATAAATGCTGTCCTCTTTAGAGAACTGTTTCTGATAAATGTTGTCCTCTTTAGAGAACTGTTTCTGAAGTAGGTTGTCCTCGTTAGAGAACTGTTTCTGATAAAGGTTGTCCTCGTTAGAGAACTGTTTCTGATAAAGGTTGTCCTTGTTAGAGAACTGTTTCTGCCTATTCTTACTATTTTAGATGTATCATTTGTGTTGTTGAAAGATATTCAGTACTTCAAAACACTTGCTGAGGTAAATCACATGTTTTGGGCATCGAACCACTTACTAAACCTTTACAAGGCCTATCACAACAGCTTCTCAGGTGGCGTGTTAGCTTCCCAAACTACACTTCCTGAAGCAAACAAAACCTCGTCAGTGTATCAGAAAGACTCGTTACAATAGATGTGTTGTGCCAAAACTTGTTCAAATATAAACTGTGTGGTTGCAATATTAAACAAAACAAGTAAATTGTGAGAAAATTTGTGTCAGACAGGACACACACTGATGTACAAAGGTACAAAATCGATGTAAACTAATTGACGGAAGACGGACGTACACATGCATATGGTTGAAACGGATGGACAGAACCAAATACATAATGGACACGATCGGATAGGAAAAGTAGACATAGGACACAAACGGATGTGAATGGGTATAACGAACTCACACTGAACTCCGACAGGTGTAAGAAGCACACATTGGCTACGAACGGATCGAACCAAACGCACAAAGGACACAGATGGTTCTAACAAACACACACTGGACACGGACAGGCGCAACGAGCACACATCAAACACAGACGGGTGGAACAAATCACACAAAGCATACGATCATGAACACGGACAGTTGTAACATACTGATATCGGACACGAACGGATCGAACCAAACACAAAATTACACTGACGGGTTAAATAAGCATACAAAATTACACTGACGGGTTAAATAAGCATACAAAATTACACTGACGGGTTTAATAAGTTTATGACGGAAGTGGGCTGTTGTATGCAAGTATCAATTGTACGGACACAGACAAGAAAGTGGACAAAGACAGTTATATACAACCACACAATTTATACGGACAGGCGTAAACAAACACATGACAAATACGGACAGTTGTAAACAAGTACACAACGAATACGGACAGGTGTAAACGAGCACACAACGGATACGGACAGGTGTAAACAGGCACACAACGGATACGGACAGGTGTAAACGAGCACACAACGAATACGGACAGGTGTAAACAAGCACACAATGGATACGGACAGGTGTAAACAAGCACACAACGGATACGGACATGTGTAAACGAGCACACAACGGATACGGACAGGTGTAAACAAGCACACAATGGATACGGACAGGTGTAAACAAACACAACATGGAAAATGATGGGAATTACCAACAAATGTAAAAAAAAATGGACACGGATTTGAGTTAACAGCACACAACAGACGCGGTTGTTGGGAACAGGTATGCAAAAACGTAACTAATATACATTGGTGAAAACAAGCAAAGACTAAACACACTCTGGTGTCATCACTCTATGGACCTATTTACCGTTACTGTTACCCGGGCCATTAGTGACCGGGGACACTTTACCGTGGCTGCTACCTTCGCTGGTTTCTACAATAAGATGTATGCTTGCATTAAGAGTACTGTAATAGCGAATCTGCTACAAACCATATACTTCTCACGTAGATAGGAACAGTGGCCAGACTGACCCGTAATACGAGTAACACGGTGTAATACATATATATATATAGACAGACCGACCCGTTATAGTAGCTATAGAGAACAGGAAAATACATATATATATAGACAGACAGATCGGTCCGTTATAGTAGCTATAGAGAACAGGAAAATACATATATACAGACAGACCGGCCCGTTATAGTAGCTATAGAGAACAGGAAAATACATCCATATAGACAGACCGACCCGTTATAGTAGCTATAGAGAACAGGAAAATACATATATATAGACAGACCGGCCCGTTATAGTAGCTATAGAGAACAGGAAAATACATATATATATAGACAGACAGACCCGTTATAGTAGCTATAGAGAACAGGAAAATACATATATATAGACAGACAGACCCGTTATAGTAGCTATAGAGAACAGGAAAATACATATATATATAGACAGACCGGCCCGTTATAGTAGCTATAGAGAACAGGAAAATACATATATATAGACAGACCGGCCCGTTATAGTAGCTATAGAGAACAGGAAAATACATATATATAGACAGACCGGCCCGTTATAGTAGCTATAGAGAACAGGAAAATACATATATATAGACAGACAGACCCGTTATAGTAGCTATAGAGAACAGGAAAATACATATATATATAGACAGACCGACCCGTTATAGTAGCTATAGAGAACAGGAAAATACATATATATAGACAGACAGACCGGCCCGTTATAGTAGCTATAGAGAACAGGAAAATACATATATATATAGACAGACAGACCCGTTATAGTAGCTATAGAGAACAGGAAAACACATATATATATAGACAGATAGACCGGCCCGTTATAGTAGCCATAGAGAATGGTGATATACATATATATAGACAGACCTGCCCGTTATAGTGGCTATAGGGTACGGTGACATACATATATATAGACAGACCGACCCGTTATAGTAGCTATAGGGTACGGTGAAATACATATATATAGACAGACCGACCCGTTATAGTAGCTATAGAGAACAGGAAAATACATATATATATAGACAGACCGGCCCGTTATAGTAGCTATTGAGAACAGGAAAATACATATATATAGACAGACAGACCGGCCCGTTATAGTAGCTATAGAAAACAGGAAAATACATATATATAGACAGACAGACCGGCCCGTTATAGTAGCTATAGAGAACAGGAAAATACATATATATAGACAGACAGACCGGCCCGTTATAGTAGCTATAGAAAACAGGAAAATACATATATATATAGACAGACAGACCGGCCCGTTATAGTAGCTATAGAGAACAGGAAAATACATATATATAGACAGACAGACCGGCCCGTTATAGTAGCTATAGAAAACAGGAAAATACATATATATAGACAGACAGACCGGCCCGTTATAGTAGCTATAGAGAACAGGAAAATACATATATATAGACAGACCGGCCCGTTATAGTAGCTATAGAGAACAGGAAAATACATATATATAGACAGACAGACCGGCCCGTTATAGTAGCTATAGAGAACAGGAAAATACATATATACAGACAGACCCGTTATAGTAGCTGTAGGGTACGGTGAAATAGTGATACATATAGACAGACCGGCCCGTTATAGTAGCTGTAGGGTACGGTGAAATAGTGATACATATAGACAGACCGGCCCGTTACAGTAGCTATAGGGTACGGTGAAATAGTGATACATATAGACAGACCGGCCCGTTATAGTAGCTATAGGGTACGGTGAAATAGTGATACATATAGACAGACCGACCCGTTACAGTAGCTATAGGGTACGGTGAAATAGTGATACATATAGACAGACCGGCCCGTTATAGTAGCTATAGGGTACGGTGAAATAGGGATACATATAGACAGACCGGCCCGTTATAGTAGCTATAGGGTACGGTGAAATAGTGATACATATAGACAGACAGACCCGTTATAGTAGTTATAGGGTACGGTGAAATAGTGATACATATAGACAGACCGGCCCGTTACAGTAGCTATAGGGTACGGTGGAATAGTGATACATATAGACAGACCTGATCGGTAGATATAAAGTACACTGACATGAAATGTATATATTGTGAACAATTGATGTTACTGAAACAATGATATCAATGAAATATTACTAACGGAGCACAATCTACCATTGTCTTATTCTCCCTGTATATTCTAGTTTTATTAGATTTGAGTTGGTATGATACTGTTGGTATTTTCTCGTTGTGTTTTTTTATTGATTTGATATCAGATAAGGTTCAAATGATTCAATTACAAGGTAACAATGATCACGACAGCCTGAGGTGAAATTGAATTGGCCGGGGTCAGGGGTCATGACAGAGAAGAAAATGTGCAAGGTTTAGGGGTTAGTGGTCGGAGATCACCACAGCAAGCGATATATTCTATTTTCAGGGTTTAGGGGCCATGGCAGTGATAAATGTCTGGATCAGGGATCGGTTTAAATACTAGGGAAGTCAAACTAATTACCCTTAGTGTTACCAGAGACAACATCTACTGTTGATTCCTGACCGCTGCCCTCCAGTTTGTCTATAAAACAATTATTAATCACTGACAGTCTAAAGCATAGTATCAGTCTATCTTCTCACTAGATGTTTTACTGGAACATGAAACAGAACAAATTCTGCATAAAAAAGTTATAGAGATAAGACTAATGCGGAGAACATGTCTGACTTACCCCGACCGCGTGGCTGTATTCGTCGTTTGTGGATCATCCTTAGTGTGTCAGGTGATAGTTTCAGGACCCGGATCTTTGTCAGAATCGCATTCTTCTCCTCAATACTAGCGATTCTGTCCTTGATAGATTTCACCTCGATCTCTATACCGATTAGAGAATTCTTTATCTCGTCCTCCTCGTGGCGAACAGTGACGGCTTCTACCTTCAGTTCATACGTACGATCGGACACATGCTTAAGCTCACGTTCCAGTCGTACTTGTTGACGTTCGCTCACGGATTTCCACTCTCGAACCCGGTCTAAGTTCTCTTCCGTGCGGCCCAGCTTGAGGCTGAGCTCCTCCTTGTCGCGGTGAGAGCGCGGCGTCTTGTCACCTATTGTCGTGTGTAGCCCAGTTATCTCGTCCTCTCTCTGGTGCTGCTGCTGGTCCAGCTTCTCGATCTTATTGGTTACCGTCTCCAAGCTAGATTTTAGTTTCTTCTTTTCTTTTTTGTGACTAAGGTGCTGTCTGTGTAGGTAAGTAAAAGTCTTATGTTTCCTCTCAAGACTGCGCTCCGCATCCCGGTGTTTAGAGTTGAGCCGGAGAATGTCCTCTTCTAGGTTTTCCTTGTACGAATTGTTGAAGAAGACCTCCTGAAGCAGTCTATCCGGATAGGTAGCATCCTCACTCACCCATTTCTTAACTGTGTGCGATACTTCAACGACCGCTACACATACCTCCTCCATGAGTCTGCCGTGAACATTCCCGTCACTGACAAACTTGTCAAAGGGAGTTTTCAGTTCTCCGTAAGTGAGGATATTTGTATTGATTTGGTCAATATTGCCCTCGATGTCCGCCTTGTAACCCTTTAATGCCTCGTCGTAATCAAACACCGGTCGAATATCCAGACCACCCATTTCTTCTATAAAACTTTTACAGTATTTCTGTAGGTGCTCGCGCGTGCATTTCACCAGCTTTTCTCGTATTCCTGGGATAGCTGCTTCAAACGCCCTTGCCCTTTCACATATATACAACAAATTTTTATAACTTTCTGATTCCCTCACTTCAGGAGAAATTTCTCTGAACTTTAATTTATCGGAGAATTCTTTCCATGTTTTAAAATCTGAGGCATCCATCCCCCAAGAGCGAAGGAGTTCCGAAAGGCATTTGTCACATTCTGCATAATCTACTGCCTTACGATCCAGATACTTTTTAGCAAATTTTCGTATCTGGAGACATATTTCATTCACTTTCGCAATGATAGCTTTGTACTCTGCCTCGCGCGTGGGCGGCGGATGTTCCCGCCGTCGGACAGTCTTGTCGGGCACAGTAGCCGGAGGTGGCATATCCTCCCAAGTTACGTGCGGCATCCTGGGATAGCAGTCGTCACCAAACACGTGCTCACTTTCAACCAATCATCACCATTTTATCCTCTCTTTATCTTGCATACACCCGTAGGTTCTGGAAACAACAAAATAACGTGTCAGCAAATTGGTGGTAGGTTACAGGCAATAAAAGATTAAGACTTATATCTACCTGTGAAGTTTTGATACCTCTTATAGTTTTTGTGTTATGTTCCCGACAAAATTATGACGAACGGACTAACGGACGGACGGAAAAAGCGGCGACTATATGCTCTTCCTTCGGGGAGCACAAAAAATAACAAAAATGTCTGCCACACCAATAAATTAATTTCGAACCCGAAATCGATAAAATCTGTTACCTGTAACTGAGCGAGATCGGGGTATCTCAGATCCTGTAACATCCTAACCTCAGCGTTAGCCCCGATCTCGCTCATTTGCAGGTAATCGATTTTTTACTTGCACATATTACTCTAAAAATTATTCAATATTCATCAGAGTTTGGCGTGGCCCGTGGGGGCCTCAAACTACCCACACAGCCTCTTCACTTTTAAACAACGTTTGGAAAGTAAACAAAGTAGGCCGCATTTACAAATAATACCACACATTTTACAGTGAAAATATTATTTTATCTACAACACCAGGAATCTTAACAACATCAAAAATACAAAAAAACAGATAATATAAAGCAGATAGTAAATTTTGAACCGAATTCTATAAATACGCGGATGAATACACCGATGCGTAGAATATTCCGCGATAACGCACGTGAGGATACTAGACAGATCGGGCGAAATAGAAAAATCTGGGATGGGGTTTTACGTGGGATATCCCCGTCTGAAGTATCAGAAAACGTAGGCACAAGGACATGTATCGCTTATCTGTTCTGTAGTTTGAGAAGACATTTTTGGAAAAAAATAATTATAATCGAAATAGGTATGGCGCTTTATCGGTTCGGAACAACATTTTCAAATCATCGCCATGATCGATCTGAAAACTAATGACGACAGGTAGACGTACATTCGGATTCATTTATTCAACAGGTTTTACGCCCTATCTTTCGGCCTTCCGCCGCACAAGAAAAGATAGGAAAAATAGTATGAAACGATGAGAGAGAGTGAGGTAGAGAGGGGCCTTCAATACTACCAGCGCTGTTTTAATTATAATTTTGAAGGCGACCCCTTGGCATGATTATAGCTTTAACCTTCCTCTAACTAGACACGTCGCAACAAGAGAACCGGTTAAGAACAGAGAAGAAGAGGAAGGGGGTCATACACTGTATACCTTTCGATATGTTTATAATATTTTGGAAGTCCGCCAAAATTACTTACTAAATAGTACCTTCTACTGCTCTAACCCTTACATCTGGGCCGGCGTTATTGCGCCTGCTCTTTTTCGAAGAACCACAGAAGGAACCTATCATGCGAGTTGGACACTCTCACATGGGCCACCATTTTAAGTTCCATCCGATGGACTGGTGCATTCGAAGTCACCGTGTTTAAATATGGAGCATATACGTTCTGACAATGAGATGTTTACCTTGCATGTTGCTGGCGATATTACAAGCTGGGAAATATACAAGAAAGGCAAAACATAAGATTTAACCAAATGTGCCGTTTTAGAATCATAGCAAGAGGCCCTTGGGCCTTAACAGTTATCTGAGGTCTTCAGGTCTTTGGAAAGTTTTAGAACCTGTCTATCAGTCCCAGCTTTGGGGCAGACAGAACAGAACTGATACATGCATACTTACTAAGTTTTTATTGTTTCTACGTTAGAAGGCTTAATTTTCAATTAAACTGAACTGATAACACTGTCTGTTGTTGTAGTTGCAGTAAACCAATGACTTTGGTCATTTGGTTATTGAGAAGAAGTCATTTAAAGATTTTAACACATGTGACCTTGAAAGTAGGTCAAGGTCATTTATTTGAACAAACTTGGTAGTCCCTCTTTCCAGCATGTTACTGGCCAAATGCCATGACCCTGGGCCATTTGATTATTGTGAGGAAATTATTTAAAGATTTTAACATATTTTACTCTTGTGGCCCTTAAAAAAAGGTCAAGGTCATTCCCCCAGCATACTACTACTGGCTCAATAACATGATTCTGGGCCTTATTGTTATTGAGAAGAAGTCGAAAATGTAAATTATTTACGATGCACGACGGACGACGCCGGACAAAAGAAGATCGCAAAAGGTCACTGGAGACTTCTTTTCGTGTGACGTTGCACATTGATATTCAAGTATGTCTCTGACACTACCCAGCATGATCAGTACTTTCTGTCACTAGAACTGATATGTTGACGTCAGTAGGTACGATTGAACGTGCCATCTCATAAAAATACGACAAATGTAGGAGTACCATCGTACTGCCTGTGCTATGACACTGATACAGGAATTATCGACATCTTAAATACAACTTGCAAATACATGATGGAAGCGTTAGCTCGCAATTTGAATTTCTGAGGGTAGGATTTTTTATCTTATTACACCAGATCAGGTTCAGTTGCTTAAAAGTTGGTATATGTGTGCATTGTGTGTCAAAATTGCATTTGATATCGGGGTCACCGTTTTAGTCCATATTTCTTGCAGTAACTTTGAAAAAAAAAAATAACACTCGGCACACGCCCAAAAGATTTTTCTTACAACATTTAGATATACCTCTCCGAATTCACCGAAATGGAATATTCATTTTCAGTCCCAAAATTGGCTACACGCGATACATATGTCCTGATATCCCAAACTTATTGTCATTTCTTTCAAGTATATCAAACATGCAATAAAGTAATTCTAAGCCTTTCGGTCATTAAACTTTATTTAAGATATTGACCCCTGTGGACTGGCATTGGCTGATAATGACCGACCATTCTAAACCGTCACAACATATCACGGCTACCAGCATTTTCTGTAAGTGACCGACCATTCTAAACCGTCACAACATATCACGGCTACCAGCATTTTCTGTAAGTGACCGACCATTCCAAACCGTCACAACATGCCACGGCTACCAGCATTTTCTGAAAGTGACCGACCATTCTAAACCGTCACAACATGCCACGGCTACCAGCATTTTCTGTAAGTGACCGACCATTCTAAACCGTCACAACATATCACGGCTACCAGCATTTTCTGAAAGTGAACGACCATTCTAAACCGTCACAACATATCACGGCTACCAGCATTTTCTGAAAGTGAACGACCATTCTAAACCGTCACAACATATCACGGCTACCAGCATTTTCTGAAAGTGGCCGACTATTCTAAACCGTCATAGTATAACACGACTACTGGCATTTTCTGATAATGAATTGAAACTAAGACTTGAATGGATTATCAGAAAGCATGGACATTAGATAAGTGGTCAAGTAAATATGTCGAATGTTTGGAAAATTTCAAGAAGAGACAACCAAAAAATAAATGTTAATTATTAACCCATAACTACTAACCATAGACCGAAGGACGAGACTTTAAACGGTGACCATTTGTGAGGACTGTCCATCTTCGCAAGATAAAGACCCCTCTATGTCTCTTTAAAGAAGAGTTGGGGCGATGACGCCTATCCAGAGGTTTAGGGAATAGGTTAAGATTAAATACACATTTTATTAGAGAATTCGATGGACGTTAAAATTACATAATAATCAATCAATACCATGAATTTTGTACCGAGACCGCCCATACGTCAGATAGTGACGTAGCTACTGGATTTTGTACCGAGACAGCCCATACGTCTGGTGACGTAGTTACTGGATTTTGTACCGAGACAGTCCATACGTCTGGTAGTGACGTAGCTACTGGATTGTGTACCGAGACAGCCCATACGTCAGATAGTGACGTAGCTACTGGATTTTGTACCGAGACAGTCCATACGTCAGGTAGTGACGTAGTCACTGGATTTTGTACCGAGACAGTCCATACGTCAGGTAGTGACGTAGTTACTGGATTTTGTACCGAGACAGCCCATACGTCAGATAGTGACGTAGCTACTGGATTATGTACCGAGGCAGCCCTATACGTCAGATAGTGACATAGCTGCTGGATTATGTACCGAGACAGTCCATACGTCAGATAGTGACGTAGCTACTGGATTTTGTACCGAGACATCCCATACGTCAGGTAGTGACGTAGCTACTGGATTTTGTACCGAGACAGTCCATAAGTCAGATAGTGACGTAGCTACTGGATTTTGTACCGAAACAGCCCATACGTCAGGTAGTGACGTAGCTACTGGATTATGTACCGAGACCGCCCTTACGTCAGATAGTGACGTAGCTACTGGATTGTGTACCGAGACCGCCCATACTTCAGATAGTGACATAGTTACTTGATTATGTACCGAGACCGCCCATACGTCAGATAGTGACGTAGCTACTGGATCATGTACCGAGACAGCCCATACGGCAGGTAGTAACGTAGCTACTGGATCATGTACCGAGACAGACCATACGTCAGGTAGTGACGTATTTACTGGATTATGTATTGAGAGCACCTGTTTTATCGATACCGGATACATTTCAGTGTTTAAATATTTAATAATGTTTGTTGTCAGTGTGATTTACACGGACGTTTGGATCGGTATAACACAGTGATCGTGACAGGTGTAAACTCATGATATCGGATTACATAACTCAATTATGTCAATACAATACAAACAAAAACAATTCAATGTTAATATCAATAATCTACCATGAGATTTTTCATGAGACTCGGTAAAGTAATCACGGAACCTCAATGACAGAGTCTTGATCACCGATACATTTCTGGAATAAATATGTCTGGAAATAATCCTCGACATTTAACCCATGAAAAAGTATCCGACGTTTCCAATGACTTTGCTAACATATTCCTCAAATTTCCCCGTAATGATGATTAATTCCGAAAGTTTACACCCGGCAATGGTGACTCGGGCTACCCCGGGCTTCACTCCGGACCTACTTATGTTCATTTCATCAGGGTTCGAACGAGTAATTTAACTCGAATAATCAATATAATAGCTACATTATACAAATACCCATG